GGTCTCGAATCAAACGCGCGCTTATCGGCGGAGAGCGGGGGTGGGAGAGCGGCTGAGCGCTCTCGCAGCACGCTGGGCCCCGCGGCGGCGAGCTCTCGCCGGCGCGCCGACGAGGCTCTCGTCCCGAATGGTCGCATGAAGCCCCGCTGCTGTTGACGCTCGTCACTGCCTTGCCGCCGCTGCGGGCCCTCGTCTGCGTCGGCTGAGTCGACAAACGTGAGCGCTTTTGTCCAGGTGCCGCTGCGCTCGATGTATGTCTGCCTGGCCTCGAAATAAAATCTCGCCAGAACCTGGCCCTCCTCGGGTTTCCCGTCCGTCTTCTGCAAGGCCGGCCTCGTCGCAGGGTGGTCGGAGGCGCTGGCTGGCTTGGCCGCCTGACTGTCGTCGCGTTCGCCCCCCATCTTCATGCCGTTGCTCGACGCCCGCGCACGTTGCCTGCGGCGCACGCCGACGCTGCCACCTGCGCGCGCTGCCCCCGCCCGGCCGAAGCGTCGACGTCGAGCGCGTCTTCTCTTCAGCGGACATGCCCGCCTCTGTCCTTAATCTGCCTCTGGTGGCACCCCAACGCTGCCCGGCGCATGCGCTTGAAGGTCAGCGCGGGGGTCTTTCTCGCCGCCCGCCCAAACCTCCGCGCGGGCTCCGACTGGCTCGAACCCGAGGTTCTCCTCGACGCCCCCCTGCCGAGCCTCGCCTGGCGGCGCGCGCGCAATTGCCTTCGCGCCCCTGGCGCGGGCCCGCGGCGCGCCGGCGCGCCGCCCCTGGATCGGAGGTGCGCCGGCGGCGCCGAGGGCGCAGGCCCGCGAGGCCCGACGCGAGGCTTGCGAGCCTCAAGAGGGGGACAGCCTGCGAGGCCTGTAGGTGTGAACCATCGGGGGCCAAGCGCGGCCCCGGCCCTAACCGAGCGTGGTCGGCGTCGAGATGGAACGAACAAGACGGTTGCGGATCGCGCGGCGACCCAGCTGTCTCGACCGCGCCGCGCCCATGCGAGATGCGGGAGCACTGCGTGGTTCCGAGGCCCAGCCCGCCTCCCGCAGGACCCACCCCGTCGCGAGGGTTGCCCCAACCTGTCCAGGGCCCCCCCTCCCCGCCCGCGGCAGCGCAGAACGGGGGGGCCGCGGACGGGCGGGCGCCTTCTGAGCGGGCGAGTGTCCACTGCTCGACGCGGGTTCGGGACTGCCCAAGAGTCGCGCCCGCGGGCTCGGAGAGAACCTCCTCTGCCAGAGCGCCCGCCGCCCGCTCGAACCCCCAGGGCTGGACGACGCCGCGCCCCCATCGCAAGGAGATCAGCCAGGCCAGAGACAGGAGGCGTTTTTGTTCAACCCGACGCAGGCTGCGAGCGGTTGCACGTTCTGCGCGGCGGCCGCCTCTTGCGCCTGGGCGCCGACAAGGCCCCCCCCCGAAAGGTCGCGCGGGGCCCGCGCCGCGCGCGCAGCGTTCATCGGCGGGGCGCGGCGCGCCATCGGCCCGCGGGCGGCCCGCTGCACACGCCGCGCCGGCGCGCCGACAGGGCCCCCCGCCCCGGAGGGTCGCCGCTGGCACCAGACAGTCTTGCCGATGCCCAGCAAGTGAATTGCCAATCAATTGCGGTCGCGGCGCGCAAGCGGCTCTTCGGTGGCCCCCTGCCGGCCCCGCATCTGCTGCGCCTTCTTCCGCTTGCCAAACGGCCAGGTATTCGCGTTATCGCAGGCACTCACGATGTCGAAGAACGGGAGCAGGCGGTCGAGGAGCCTGTTGCGCCCCTTATGGCCCCCCAAAAGAGGCTTCCAAGAAGCCCCCAAGAGGCCCCATCGATATGCGCAACTTTGACAAACATGCGAAAACGCCAAACGACACCCAAAATGGCCCACAAAATGCTGGAGGTCGGCCCAAAAAGGCCCCGAGGCGCCTATCGAGGCCACGCGAAGTTTCGAATAATCCCCCGCGCGGGCTCTCTGGAGTATTTTTCGCGCCTCCGAGGTACCTAACAATACAGGGGGCGCAAGTGCGCCGCGCGGCAAGACGAAGGTACAGACGCTGACAGAGCGCTCACCGCAGCCAGCCACGCTGACGACGGCGCCCTCTCAAGTGGTGTCTCTGACGGGAAGTTTCTTGTCACTCCGCGCCCCTCTTTCCTTTATTGCGCTTGTTCGCGCAGTATACGCATTTCCAAGTGGGCACGGCGCCCACTGCCCACTGGCGGTCGTGCGGCCGCGGCGTGCTCTTGCGCGCGATGAATGGCGGGTAGACGCACGCGTCGCACGTGTACCTCGGGCCCTACCAGTTCGAAGCGCGTCGACCAGACGTGGCAAACTCTCGGAGTCCAAGACGGCCCAAGCAGCATCCAAGTTCACCCACATACGGTGACAGAGAGCCCCGACACGGCCAAAATGCTTCAAGATTGCCTAAGACTGGCCCCGAAGACAACCCAGGGGTCTCCTGACCCTCCTAGGTCTGGCCGTCACGCGTGGCATGTCCGAACCCTCAAATGCGAGGGTGTCTCCGCGGAAACAACCTGGACTGCTTCAACTCAAGGAAAGCCTGAAAACAAAGTGGCCCCAAAGACGGCCCCCGAAGGGTCCCCGAAAAATCGCAGGCCCGTTTCGGTCAACATTACAAACACTTGAAACAACCAAGGGCATCTATGGTTTTGGTTTCTTCGGCCTCCTGGTGGTCCAGGAGGGCCGCAAGAAAGCTCAAGATGCTTCACGACGGCCCGACGGCGCAATGGGGGCCCCAAGACGGCCCAAGACGCCCCCAAGACGCCCCGAGAGGCCCGCGAGGCCCCTAAGAGGCCCCCAGAGGCCCCCTAGAGGCTCCCAAGAGGCCCCCATGAGGCCTCAGAACGACTGGGCTGCACGTGGTCCGGACGTGCACCCCGCGAAGCATTGATTTCCCCAAGCAAATTTTGAATGAGTTTCGCCTTCTCGCCGTTTCGGGCTGCCGGCTGCTCAAGACTGCCCACGAGGACCCCACGATGGCCCAAGAGGCATCCAAGACGGCCTCCCGTGGGACCCAAGGCGGCCTTAAACGGCCCTTCCAAGGCGGCGCCACGACGGGCCAACGACGGCCCCCAGACACCCACCATACGGCCAAGCGGGCCCCAAGACGGCACAAGAGAACCACAAGCTAGCGTAAGAGGGCCCCAAGGCGGCCCAAGAGAGCTCCACGGGGCCCAGGCCAAGACAGCCCCAAGACGACCCAAACAAGCTTTATCCTCCTCCTCCTCCTCCTCCTACTCCCCCTCCTCCTAGTCCTCATCATCATCAGAAGCAGCGTCATCACCATGAACCTGACAATGATCATGATCGTCATCATCAGCAGCATCATCATGATAATCCTCATCATCGTGGTCGTCGTCGGCTTCGTCGTCGTCGCCGTAACCATCATCAGCAATCGTAATCATCATCGTCAGCATCATCAACGCCTTCATCACCATCGTCAGTCATTATCATCCTCAGCATCACAATCGGAACCATCGACACCATCACCTTCATCATCATTCTCATCATCACCACCGCCACCACCACCACCACCATCACCACCATCACCATCACCATCACCATCACCATCACCATCATCATCATCATCATCATCATCATCATCGTCGCCGTCGTCGTCTTCGTCGTCGTCTTCGTCGTCGTCGTTGTCGTCGTTCGTCGACGTCGTCGTCGTCGTCCGCCGTCGTCGCCGTCGTTCGTCGACGTCGTCGTCGTCGTCGTTCGTCGACGTCGAAATCATCATCATCATCGTCATCACAATCATCATCAACATCATCGTCATCATCACCATCGTCTTCACCACCATCATCCTCACAGGTCATCATCACCATCACCATCACCATCATCCTCCATCATCACCACAGGTCATCATCACTATCACCATCACCATCACCATCACCATCACCATCACCATCAGCAGCATCATCCTCAACATCATCAGCATGTAGTCATAATAATGATCATCAGCATCATCATTATCATCATCATCACCACCATCATCACCATCATAATCAGCAGCATCGTCATCATCCCCATTATCCTCATAGTCATCATCATGCGCTACTACGGTCTACCAAGCCTGCAAACACGAGGAGTCACACGTAACGGCCTCCCGTGCCCCCCCGAAGAGTCGCGACCCAGAATGCTGGGCTGGCACGGTGGCGGGACTTGCCGCAGGCAGCTGGATATAAGCACACTTGACATACATCATGGCACACGGTTGCACTGTTGTTGGAAGCGGCTGGGGGATCTGCTCTGGATTGGCACTGGCAACACCAGTCAGGAGGGTAAAAAAGATAATCTAGGCATGGAATGCCTCTCAGTAGAACGCGTCGTCGTCGTCGTCATCGTCGTCGTCGTCATCGTCGTCGTCATCGAAACGAAGTCTGTGTACAATGGTGCCTCTCCCCTCTCCAGCGGCTGGAACCAACGATACTCCACCTCAGCCCCACAGCCGGCTCCAACTCCTGTGTGGAACGACGATCGCTCGCAAGCATGCGGGCCCCAAGAATATACACCACCACGTCGATTCCTCCTCCCTCCTCCACCCTCGTCTTCCTCTCCTCTTTCCTGGGAGAGGGAGGCGATGGGGGAGATGGTGGTGGTGTATACCTTTGGGCCCCGCAAAACAAGCTCGTCTCAAGCACACTCGCGCTAACGTGCAATCACACCTCGCCCTCCCCCGACTCCGGATCCGCCGTACTTTTGGCGATTTCGCAAGTAAGGCTGAAGTTGCGCCCTAATGTTCAAGCTCCTTTGATGCCGATTTCCACCCAAAATTGCAGTCCCTGTTTCCGCTATAATTACCTTTGCGCAAGTATCCGCCCTACTTTTTTCTGAGGCAGAAATTTCTGCTACATTTTTTCGCATCGTTTGGTGTGCATGTCCAGCACGATCTATGGCCGGAACATCAGCAACAGTACGGCGGATCGAGTCAAGAAGGTCTGCTGCCCCCAGCAAGAGGAGAGAGAGAGAGAGAGAGAAAGGAAGAGAGAGAGAGAGAGAGCGAGAGAAACAGCGGTCCGAGTTGCGCGTCTGCTTGGGCGGCGTCGGGAAGGCCACCGTCAGCGTCTTCCCGTTGACCATTTGCCCGTCGAGTGCGGCGATCAGCTTCTCGACCTCTTCCTCAACGGAACTGGCCAAGAGCCTACAGCAGGCACGTACAGCGAGAGATCCTGCTAAGAAGAAACTCTTATGCACAGCATTCGTCGATGCTTAGGAGGGGGTCCTGAGATGCCCCAGAGCTTCTGTGGGTCCTACGGGCCGCCTGGGGAACGAGATAATTGCGTGGGGCACCTGCTGCCACGCCGATGTCTTATTTGATGTTTCTTCTGTAGCACTGCGATAACGGATGGAATCGCAAAAGCAGCAGTGGGAAGCAAGAGCAAGTACGCACGACATGAAATAAACAAATAATACTGGAACAACCCAATCAAAGTCTGTTTAAGGCTATAGGGCTATGGGGCTACTGGGCTATGGGGCGATGGGGCTATGGAACTATAGGGCTACAGGGCCAGAGGACTATAGGTCTGTAGGGTTATAGGGCTATAGGGCCATGGGGCTACAGGGCTGTAGGGCTTTAGGGCTATGGGGCTCTGAGGCTATGGGGCTATAGGACTATAGGGTCATAGGGCTATGAGTCTATAGGGCTAGCTATAGGGCTATAGGGGTATAGGGCTATGGGGCTATAGTGCTATAGACATATCGAGCTATAGGGCTATAGGGTTATAAGGCTATAAGGCTATATGGCTAGAGGGCTATAGGGATATAGGGCTATAGGGCTATTGTGCTATAGGGTCATGAGGCTATAGGGCTATTGGGCTATAGCGCGTAGGGCTACAGGGCTATCGGGCTATAGGGATATAGGGCGATAGGGCTATAGGGAAATTGGGCTATAGGGCTATAGGGCGATAAGGCTATAGGACTCTAGGGCAATAGGGCAATAGGGCTATAAGGCTATAAGGCTATTGGGCTATAGGGTTATTGGGATATTGGGCTATGGGGCTACAAGGCTATAAGGCTATAGGGCTATAGGGCTATAAGGCTATAGGGCTATAGGTCCATAGGGCTTTAGGGCTATAGGGCTATAAGGCACCCGGGCACCCAGGCGGGCCGCGGAAATCGGTGACACATCTCACCTAACCATCTGAATCCGCTAGGACCCCTACAGAGGCAAGCTCTGATTGTGGAATATCCACTCAGCCCTGAGCGTCAAAGCGTGCCTTTTTCGCGATTTCGCTAATACACTGTCGCCAAGGCAATCACCAACCAAAGGCATGTGCGCCTTGGGCCTGGGGTGCTTCCCTCGTGCAACACTGATACTCAGCCCGCAATGGAAAAGCAGCCGTCGAGCGCCTAACAGCGAGCGTTGTTTTTCCAAATCGGAATGTGCCCCTCGGGGGGAGTTGGGGGTATTCTCGCATACAGCTGGAATTCGCTGGGGGGCAGCGCGCAATGGCATCGAAGAGTCCACCAGGCCAATGCCCGCGCCGTCCTAGCTGATGCTGCTGCCCCATCCGCCCTCGCCGCCTCTGCTGCCCGCTGGCCTCTCTCCGAGCACTCCGGGCCCTGGGCGCACAGCAGCTCTTCGGCAAGGGCGGCAACAAAGCTCCGCCTCCCAAACGATGATAGGCTAATAGCCGCTCCACGTGCGGGACCTCGCCGAAGCATCGCGACGCAATCTAGGATGGATGGGCCAGACCTGCTGCAAACAAGATCCCTGCGCAAACTTGGGAAGGTCTGAGAATGACGATGCAGCAGCAACTGTGGATGGTAGTGACCACGGGAACCCCAGCCACCGTGGAATGGGGCAGAACGCGTACATGCACACATAGGCATGCAAACTCAGTCAGAACCAAACGCTCAAACCAGGGCTGGCAAATAGCTCTCCCGAGGGTAATTAATTGAGGCGTCGGGTTGCGCATTGGTAGCCCCCAAGGTAGTTCCGGCTGGCCTCAACAGGCTCCCACGTAGTCCAATGCGGTCTCAACACCCTGGCGCCACCTCCAGCAGCGCCCCAAGGTTGAAGTGTTTGGACCGCCCTGGACTACCCAGGGGGGCTGTCTGTGCGCAACCCGAAGCCTTGCGCCATCCCCCGAAGGTCCTTGGAAGACATGATGGCGAAACCGCTCTTGGTGGGCAATCCAGCCTTGTTCTTCAAGATCTGCGCGCCGAGCACGGTGCCGTGCGGGCTACAGAGCATGCGAACCGCTTCCTGGCGCGGCGCAAGTAACTACTTCCGCGCGGCAGGAAACAAGGGTCAAGGAAGAGTCGGAAATGAAGAATTGGCAATCAGTGGGGGACGGTACCGATACCGCTACACTTCCCTCGTTCTCGTATTTGTTGAGTCTCCTGGGAAGCCCTCGTCGACACGGCTGTATTCGCTTCGAAACTCGAGTCAGAACACACCCTGGGAGAGGTCCGGGGAGTAGCCGGATCGGTACCCCTTCGTCCCCCTCAGGCACGGGACAAGAAAGGATCCCGAAGGAACGATACACCGCCGACAAATCGGCGACAGGCCCTCGATGGCGAAACCGCCTGCTCCTCGGCGGGGTGGGGTACCAGGCTCTCATCGGCGATGAATAGGCGATCGGGGGTCGATGCGTCCCCCTCCCCCTGAGCCTGTCTCTTCCCCCCAGCGTTGCCCCCGAGGGGAGGGCCCAGATAGCCCGAAAGCGGTGAAGTGTCGAGCGGCGTTCGGAGCCAGGCCGCGCCGCCGCGGCCCGAGCGCCTCCCCCGCGGAGTGGTTGGGTTGGCACGTGATCTGCGGAAGCGGAGGCGGCAGGCTGGGCCGGATGCTCTTTTCTTGCTGACTGCTCGAGCGCAGAAGCCAAGCAGTGCGCTAGTTCACGATCGATTGGCAAGGCGCAGTCTCTATCGTGCAGTCTGCGCGGTGCAATCTGTGTGGTGCAGGCTACGTGGTGCGATACACAAGGACAGCTCAATGATGGAAGCTATGCGGTGCAGCCCGTGTGGAGCGAGCTACGTGTTGGCGCACTCTGGGTGGTGCACGTCACCCACCCCGCAACATCCGCGCGTGACCAGCTCCCATGTTCGTGCCAACATCCCACCGACCCACCCACCCACAACGAATCTCGTTTGGCCGTGATCTCAACGAGCGCACGGGCCGGTGGAACTAACCTATGCAAACCAGTTCGTCCTCCAGGTCGCGAGGTGGCGGCGGCGGTGGCGACGGGCGCGACGCCAACGACGATGGCGATGACAGTGGCGATGACGCTGGTACCGTTGGCAAAAAAGAGGAAGATGAGGAAGATGCAATGTCGACGACGACAATGGTAACGCTGACCAAAGTAATGGTGATGAACGTGACGGCGGTAACGGTTATGCTAGCGATGAATTTTAAACAAGACATTCCCGAATAACACGAGCTGTTGCCAACTTTTCGCCACCGCCCTATGGCGTCGAGCTTGCGAACGGAGCCGAGCTTCGAAGGCCTGCTCAGGGTTCCATGGCAGGCAGTACTAAAAACGGCATCGCACAGGCAGGCACACAGCATGCGACGATTGGCACATACAGGGTGGAGGAGGAGAAGGAAGGATAACCATTTCCTCTCAGGGGTCTCCTCAGAGAACCCTCGGCCCATCCAGCGGAACACACAGGCTTTTCGATCTCGGACAGGAGCGGTAGTGGATCATATTGTCGAGGTGCACGGTCGCACCTGATTCGGGAAGTAACACTGGGCAACCAAGACAACAGCATGGTTTGGACGACTCTCGGAACCTGGCGGAAGTACATACACCACGAACGCACCTGCGAAAGACTCCATGGCCGATGTACGGGCTGGCAAGCTTGCATACCGAACGAATCTGTTTAATGCACTGATGCATCATGCTTCGGCTCACTTCTGGGATCCATTTCTGTAGACGATTGAGCATGCCATCGCGCGGGGAAATGCCAGAGGGCGGCCGTTTATGAAGAGCACGGTACAATTTATGTTGCAGAATCGGCAATGAGAGCGGAATCAACGGAGCGATGGCCAGGGCATCGTTGATAACATCGAGGAGCGGGCATAGGAAGGATGACCTGAACCAGCGAGGGTAATATCCGACGCAGCCACGGGCAAGAACGCGACCAGCGGAACGAAGAACATAATCAATCTCTCTGCGAGTCCAACAGCCAGATAACCTGACGCGAAATGCAAACGAGAGACAGTACAGTTCTTTCGCTGTACAATTGAAGCCCAAACATTGAAAACGAGTAATCATGTTGCACGAGAGCGAGTGTCTAGGAGCAGCCATAAGAAGTTGAAATGCTTCTTGGCTCTGTTTGAAGACTTGACCAGAACAACTGAACAACAAATTGAAGAACAGAAACACACATGACCCGGAAAATGGAAAGCGTCAGAACCAGCCCCAGCCCCATCTGTTTAAGGGCACGAGACCGAGAACGGAACTTACTGAAAGGCTCGCGCCGGCAAGTCTCCCCAACCTCGGGACTTTTATATCCCAAGATATTTGGCGCACCTAACGAACTCGACTTCGGCAAGGCCATTGGTAAAATCCCTCGCGCCGCTACGAACACGGCCAATTTTCAGGGAGCCATGAACGCCGACTTGACACTTCTTGAAGTTAAGGAACAGCCCGCGCGCAGGACCAATGCGAATAAGCACTGACCGAGCACGCGGTGGAAATAGACATATCTTGTGCATAGCAAAGAGACAATCATCCACCTACGCCAAAGACCGTTGAGCGCGCGCCAACGTCTAGCTTGCATCCAACGCAGAACAAGGTCGAGGCTGAGACAGAATAGGCACGTGCTGCTAGGGGGCCCCATTGCCGAACATCCCGACGAATAGGAAAACCTCCCACACCACTTTCCTCCAGGAATGACTATCCCCCAGCTCTCTCGATATAGCAGGATAAAGACTGCCGGCGCAAATCCGCCTTTCAAAATCTCAATCATGAATTCTGTTAGGATGGATGGGCATGCAGCAGGAAATCAATCAGACGCACGCCGACGCGATCATGTCCCAGATGGTGTTGCTGGACTCCCGCGCTCTCCGCAGATACAGCATTCCCAAGCATGCACCGCCCAAATATACATGTCTGCGAATAGCCAACAGCAGTCATTGATAAACGAAGGAGAGGAATGCAGAAATCACAGGAGAGCAGCTCAACGTCAGCGTCGCCCATGATAATGGCCGGATTTCAGAGCAATCACGAATAAGCATCGGGCCTTCATCACCTGGTTTCGTACCTTGGGCAAGAACACCATGAGAAGCCGACGCATATCATCGGGGGGGTCGGAGATTGCGCCATCGCATATGCTCGAATAGACCTCGAGTAAGATCTTGGGAGCAGGCCCAATCGTCCAGCAATCATAGCGCAACCCATCTTCCCCAGGCATCGAGTGAGTTCTGGCTTGGATCATCAGCTGGAACTCCTCGAAGTCAAGCTTCCAAAACTCGTCCGAAAGATCAATGGCCCTCTGGGTGAAGCTCAAGATCCCTGCCCAAAAGGGTCGCGTCGGCCTCGAGGTCATCAAAGACTTTGCACCAATAATCGCACAGAGCTCCACACGAGTCCTCGATGCAGGCACCGGGGTTCCCACTCGGGTCCTTGGCGCCAGAGACCCAAGTGCGCATTCTGAATCTTCCCCGGGCATCTTGCCTCCTTCGAATCTCCCAAGGCGGCCCGTTTCACAGAGTCGTCCGCCGACGAGTTCTCCATCGTCGATGCTTCGCCATCAAGCGCCCGGGCCCGCAGAGATTGGACATGCTCAAGAAGAGGATCAGGATGAACCAGCTCAAGAGTAACCAGATTGAAGAAACTGCTTGGACGCTCGTAACACTCGATGGCGCGCATGACCATGCGTTCTCGCGATCGCATGCATTGGCCCGTGTAATTTCTCAGAGAGATCGGATGCAGGCAAACGTGCAATAGCTTTCTTGGCGCGCGCGTGCGCGCGGCATGCATGATCTCCTTCGCGCGAGCAAGTGCCTCGAGAACACGATGTGGATCGCTGCTGTTAGCCCGGGGGGTGGCGCTATTCCCAATCAGTGCTGACGCCTGACTACGAGGAGGGGGCGACGCATATTCAGTAATCATATCCGTCAAAGTCTGAGTCAACATCTCCTGGGAAAGCGAATGGCGAGCAAGCCGGAAACGAACAAATTCTTGGGCATCGGCGTCGGGGGCGTATCTCTCGAGCACCGTCAGGACAGGGATGTGGTCAGATCACCCCGTGTTTTGTAGCCCCCCGATCACTGATGCGCACATTGGAAGGTCGGCCAGGAGAGCCGAGGGGATGTCGGAATACATGCGATCAGGTCTTGACGTCGGAGATATCGCATTACCCAGAATTTCTCGACGAGTGTCCGATTCTGGGGGAAAAAAAACTGAACCCAGGGTCCACAGTTTCTGTGGACAGGGGCCAGTATGAGCCCGATCGCCAGGAACGAGTCCACTCCCATCCGCCGAGAGTGGACCTTCATCTTCGCGCGCGAAGTTCCAATCGCACGCGATAATGTTGAAGCGTCCCGATGCAGATGGGAGAGCACCCAAGATGCAGGAGAGATTGTAGGCGCACGAGGCAAGAGGATCACAATCATTAGGGAGGTGTGCATTCACGATCGTGAGCGAGCGGTGCTCACCCTTGCACACTGAGAGAAGGCATCTGCCCCCTTATCAGTGGCACATGCTGAAGTGCGTCAACAAGTGCAGCAAAGAAAGACAACATAACTGCAATTACACCACCAGTGCGGTTGTCATCATTGAAGAACGAGTGGCCAACGCAAGAGTTGCGGAGGTCATGCTTAAGATGAGGCACGTCTGCTACCTGGCCATGCGTTTCTTGTGCACAAACAACCGAATAGTGATTACAAAGACGGGTAAACTTGCCCCATGGGTTGGAAGCGGTAGCGTCTTTCGCAGCCTTCACCGCACCAAATAGACCATGAGCGTTCCACGTGACAATGGACAACGGAGAGTGAGAAGAGAGCGGCATGCTGTCGGACCACATGTCCCTGGCAATATTCCCAAGATTAAAGTCACAACGACACATAGCAGAAACAACAGAAGAACACCTTGGCAAAAAAAAGCATCCCGGTCCTGCGCATGCAGGCTCTAAACAGTCCCTGGACCAAAGTCTCAGAGGATGGTGGACGGGTCGTTGGCTTCCCTGGTGGCCGTCGCAATCGGCTGCAGGACCGCCTCGTCGTTCAGCTTCCAGATGCGGCAGTCCACAAGTTTGGGATCGAAGGACCAGCCCCATCATTCATTCACTTATATGTGCACCATCTCCCAGATCTCACCCCTGTGTCAGCGTCACCGGATAGGTTGATCATATCCTGGTATCCGTTGGCACCGAGGCGCGTCGAGGACGTGTCATGACCAGCTGCAACCAGCATGTCCCTTGCACGCTGGCGAACTCTCACATCTAGAGGCATGTATCCACGGCTTTTGATATGGTGGCTAGCCTGTGTGCGAGGGTCTGTCCAGTTCATGCTGTCGGGGGCAGCTGCGACGATTTCCTGGAATCTCTTGACCACCAGCTCACTGGATAACTCGAGATTATACGATTTCGAAGTGCGATGGAATGAGGGAGTGATCTCACGAGCGAGATCCTCAGGTAAAACAGGAACGACAACTTTCTCATAATAAAGCCGATGCTCACGAGCGAAAAAAATGCGCGGGAATGTTCCAATACACCGGCGGCTCTTATTGAGCATGCCCCTGTTCGAGTGGTCGATCCACCTGGATTTGGAGACTCCTGCATATGAAAAGGTTCTCGCCGCCCTCCCCCACTCGACGATGCAGTGGACGAGTAGAAGACGAAGTATGGAAAGCTTCCTGCTTCTCGATCTTCATCTCAAGGTTGGCAACTTTGTCGTCCGCCTCTTTGATGGACTAGCATGTATTCGATATGGCTAAACCATGACCCAAAGAGGATCCGCTCGAGGGAGTTGATTCTAGCGTCGGTGGCCTGTGTGGTCTCGTTGATCTTCCTCCCCGTGCAGCTCAGACTAACCGTGACCTCAAAGCGAAGTTTCAGCATCTCCTCAGATTGAGTCTTGATGAGCGCCGCCGTCTTCGTGTTGATGTCGTTGGCCTGCGACTCAAGCAAGCCCTGGATACGAGACAGGAGGCTGTTCTCGGATGAGGAGGCTCCAGGCACCTCCGACATTGCCGCCCGAGCCCGCAGGAGGAGTGCAGGTCCGATGTCGGTGCAGCACCTGAGCTGCGCTAGCAAGGCCCCCACCTGAGCCAGCACGCAATGGAGATGTCAAGGCTAATCAGGTTACCTCGCTACCTCGAAGCCTCCCCCCGTTTAGCCTTGAGCTAAACTGGCTACGAATATTATGCTAGCGATGATGATGGCAGTGATGATGATGCTGATGGTGATGATGGTGGTGATGGTGATGGTGGTGATGATGGTGATGATGCTGATGCTGACGATGATGAGGATGATGATGATGATGGTGCTGGTGATGGTGGTGACGATGATGCTGATGTTGATGATGAGGATGAGGAGGAGGAAGTGCCCGCGCGCAAAAACGTCATGAGGGCAAAGGCTTCAACGATGAGGGCGGTGACGATGATCCCGGATGCTGGTGATGATGATGATGCTGATGCTGCTGATGATGCTGATGCTAATGGTGATGCTGATGATGATGACGACGACGGCGATGGCAATGCTGCCGCTGACGATTATGATAACGATTGCTCTGATGAGGAAGAGGAAGATGGACAAGTGCCCGCCCACAGAAATCCTAACACCGTGATGTGTTTGTTGTTGAAAACCATTGGGTGCCCGATGTGCTTGAGCACCTCTGTGCTGAAATTGTTAAAACGCCACTGTTTTCGGACGGATTTCGACGCACGCGCAAGAAGATGCGCGCGTGTGGCCCGCATTGGATTACTGGACACAGGCGGTGAACGCGCGATGGTTGTTGAACGATTCGCCATGCGCCTGCAAGTGGTCGGCATACCCTGACTTGACAGAACGGCTAAAACCCATGGCTTTCTCCAGGATCCAGCGAGGGCGCGCGCGCAGAATTCTGGCAAGCGTATGAATTGTTGAAGGCCACACGGGTTGTTGATTGATTACGACTCGCCATACCTGGCATTCGGTAAACAAAACACATGTTGCTCGATAATTTTGACGTGCGCGCGGCGGCGCGCACATGTGCCCCGCAGTACAGCTCTTGCGAGGGATTCTGAAACAAGCGCTCATCAATTAAACACATGCGCACCGCGTTACATGGTTTGCAGGAGATGGCACGGGGTGTCGATGCCAGCCTGGCTGTCGTACCGTTATTTGGCATTTGAAAGGAAGGATCGTGCAAGATCAGTCCCATTACATAATACGCGGCAGGGGGCTGTTAACCCCAGCCTCGGAGGGAGGGGGAGGGGGGGAGATTGTCTTTCCTTCCGTAAGGGAGGAATACATGTGCTGCAAACTACGTGTCGCTCTCTACATCGGGCCCCCACGTGGGCGCCCTACCTGGCGAAACCTCGGCGGAACGAGCCAGCATATGGGGCGTCCATGAGGCGCCCGCGACCCGCCACCAGCCGGGCACCAGGCGAAACCAAGGCGGACCCACCCAGCGCACGGGGCGCCCACAAGGCGCCCACGACCAGCCACCAGGCGGGCCCCAGGGGAAGCCTTGGCGGACCCACCCGATTACTGATCAACACAAGTAGGGAAGTAGGAACCCCTGAGTGCGAGCACTGCTGGGGGAAGCCACAGAAACTCTCAGAACATCAATGAGACATCCTACCCCTCACTCGTCATCCTTCTAGTCCAGCTCACCCTCCCCTCCTCTTCCTCCTCCAAGGCACGCCTCGTCGAATTCCCCTGGCATGTTGGAGAAGTAGGCGGCGCGCTTCTCCTAAGGGCACAATGAGAAACGGGGAATCTGGAAGGTGACGACCTGGCGCACAGAGACAGGATGGATGGGAAAGATCACGGTGAGCAGAATGATCGCAATCCCCCCGAGAGCGCGCGCGGCCATTCTGAGGGGTGCTGCAACTTATGATGACGATGGCGCAATTCTGGCGACGACAAAGCTGGGCACCCAGGGCCTGTCCTCCAGCAAAAGCAAGCCAGAACGCAAGCAATCCTGCAGCGCAGTACTCACGCAACAGAAGAGACCATCAATGATTCATCACGCGAGGGCACGAAATCAAGTAAGGCAGTGGTGTGAGAATATTACTAAGTATGTACGATTGGAAATCATACTATAGCGAGATGCGCGCGTGGATCACGATCGACTGCTGTGCAACAGAGAAGCTGAAAGAACACGAGACCGCGCAGTGAACGAACCAATGAAGACGCTCTCGGCACTCTTCAAGTTCCTCCTCCACTCCTCCACTCTGGGCGCCTCAAACCTCACACGGAGACAGCACACATGGGTACGACGACGATGCCAGACAGCAGGTGTTCAAACCAACAACGACCGCTGTTGGGTAGGCGTCTTCTCATTATAATCCGGCGACGCCCAGAATGATTCCGACAACAAGCCCGTCTCAAAATGGTCAGGAACTGATGTTGGCCTTCGTTCCCGTCCTTTCCTTCCCCATCTGAGGCCCCTGATCCTCCTCCATTCCCCCTCCCCCTCTTCCGGATCCAGCCAATATGGATCTGGAGCCACAGGGTCTGGAGCAAGGCCTTCTGGGCATCTCTGAAAGCCGACGGATCTGGAGGATACATCGAGCGCCGCGCCCCTTACAGAGCACACCCGCCGCGCTCTGTCCCACAGCGAACTGCGTTCGTCCTGGGTGTGCCTGTCCCTCCCCAGAGCGACGACGTCGCGATTCGCTTGCGGCGCTCCTTTACAGATCCACGGCTCCCTGGCCAGGCCCATCCTGGGGGAGGGTGCCCTCGAAGGTTCCTCAGTTTGGCTGGCGGATGGTCCCATGTTCTTGAAGGATGGTATTCTGTCCTCGGTTGGTGGGCCTATCTTCCACCACCACTACCATAGGTAGCACGGGGGAGAGGAGAGGATGGGGAGGTCCTCCTTCTCCTCCTCCTTCTCCCCCTCCTCTTTCTCCTCTTTCCCCCCTCCTACCTATGGTGGCGATGGTGGAAACTCGACTCATCATCGGTCTGGCTGTACAGACCCACTGCCCCCAGGCCAGGCCCATCCTGGGCGAGGATACCCTCGAAGGTGCTTCCGCTTGGCTGGCGGATGGTCCCATGTTCTTGAAGGATGTTATTCTGTCCTCGGTCTGGCAGCACGTACCCACTGCCCCCAGGCCAGGCCAATCCTGGGGGAGGGTGCCCTTGAAGCTTCCTCAGTTTGGCTGGCGGATGGTCCCGTGTTCTTGAAGGATGTTATTACGTCCTTGGTCTGGCCGCACATACACATACAATCGGCGCGTTGACCTAAGGAGCACTTAATAAGGAACGAGGCCCCTTTTGTCCATGAGTCAAACTCCGATGTCCCATCGAAACCTAAGGAAAACCGAAGGCAAACGGTGAACCAACTAAGGAACAATGAGCCCCTCCCAAGCGAAAAGGGCTCCTTCTTCAGCGCCCCGACTGTACCCACTGCCCCCTGGCCAGGCCCATCTAACAAAATAACACCAGCGGCGTATACGCCACGCCCTCCTGGCCTGACCGGGAGGGCTTCTCTGCGGCCAGGGAAGGCCGGGCAGCGGACATGTGCGGCCGGGCCCAGGACAGAAGAACGCCTCTAAAGGGGCCCAGGGACACACACACACATAAATACACACAAATCCCCGGATCCCCTATATTTTCCAATGTTTTCTTGGCTCTCGTCTTCCCCCCCACCCTTCCCATATTTTCCTGGGAATCGACGATTACTTGTGTCTGTGTGTTTCTTCCCCCCTGATTCTTTGAAGAACGTGATGTGTGAGGGATGGGTTGGCCGAAGGGCCGATCCTCTCCCGAGTTTCCTCTGGTACAGACGGTAACGATGAATGAAGGACGGTGATGGCGGCTTGACCCATCTTCACAAGTCCTACAATCATGCGTGCTTGTCCATACCTGCGAGCCGAAAAGGGCAGCGCAACAGGAAAGAGTAGGGAACGTACGGTGATCATTCACACATGAGACCCTCCGCCAGCCAAACTGAAGAACCTTCGAAGGTACCCTCCCCCAGGATGCACAAGAGCATCCAACAACACACCAAAAACATTGGGGTGCCCTCCCCGAGCCGACCTCGATCTCGTACCTCGGTCCGACCCGCATCCCCCCCCCCAGAACTGGCCCCTGCTCCCGAGCAGCTCCTCGATGGCCCGGGGCCCAGGGAGCGCCCCCCCCCCCCTGGATGCCGGGACAAGCAGGGCAGCGCTCCGCCATCCTCTGCCCACGACGCGGAGGGACCAGGGCTCCTCGACGCCCCCGCGCTCGGGCGCTGCTTCTTTGGACCGAACACCAAACGACACCACCTCAACTTAGCCGCCCCGATACGCAACACGCAGCACGGAGCTCATCACGTGGACTGAAAATTCGAGTATGGCACGATGCATTCGCCAAAACGTGGGCCAGTATGCTGAGCCAACGCGCAACATATTGGCACGGGCGCTTGAAGCACGGTTCGTGTTGCGTTTCAAAGCGGGCGTATCGAGGCAGCCGAGCACCCCACCTACGACCCAGCGATGTTGAAAGATTAAGCACTGGTCTTAAGCACTTGCCCAACTACGGCTACCTGCGACCCACCTGCGGCACCACTAAACGACCGACCCAGCGGGTCGTAGGCAAGGTGGTGTCGATTGGCTCTTGGTCGATGAGGTGGGAAGGCGATGAAAGGGGGGGCGAAGAAACATGCACCTTTCGTGCCCCTTTTGTGCGCCAGAGGGGGCCCCTGATGTGCACAGCAGATGCGCCTTCATGCCCACTTCGCTGATTGCTCCCCCCGTACGTCCGGACCTAGGACAGATGAGCACCCTACAAAAATCTGAGACCCTCCGCCGGCCTTTACCTCGGTCCGACCGTAACGCAACGCCCAACTCTACTCCTTTTCCCGTCCCTGCTGGCCGCACCAGAAGGCTGCTGAGCAGCCGTCCCCGCCCAACCCCCCAAAGTCCACGTTGTCGGGGTCGTCGTGATAGGCGTCGTCGTCAGGGGCGGCGTCGCCGTTGTTGGGGGGGCCGCCGCCAGGGCCGCTGGGGCCGCCGCGACCACCCCACGCAGCTACCACCGCCCCCCCCCCCCCTCCCAAGGCTTCCAAGAGGGCTGCAAGAGACCCCTCCCGCCGCCCCGCCTGTTTGGCGAGCGACAGCGCGGAGAACCCTGACACGTGCGACACCTGGAGCCGAGCGCGGGGACCACCCCCTCCCGCAGGGCTGCTGCCACTCCCGCACTGCCTGCTCCTCCGCTGCTGCCCCGGCCTGGCGACGCGCACGCGGGGTGGCGCGAAGAGGCCCCCGTCCAAGAAGGCGGGGCGTTTTTTGGAAAGCGGGGGGGCCTTCTTACAATGGCCTGGCGGCTGCGGCCTCTCAGAGGCCGGGGCGGCTTCTGAGAAGGCCCCAAAGCGTCTTTGAGGGCCGCCCCCTGGCGCAATGCGCTTGCGCGCGCCGCCAACAACCCCACCAAGCTGTGATGGGGCAGCCCCCTTACCCCCACTTGCCGAAGCCCGTTGGCGATCAGTGCGCCAATCGCCCGACAGGAATGCAGCGATGCCAGACCAGACCGCGCTCGTTTCCGCAGCTGTCCCCGGAGGCAAGGGCCAGGAAAAACGACGCTTGGCGCAGCGATGGCTGCAATAATCATCGCTGCTGCATCGGCAGGTGATCTGGATTTTCAACAAAGCGCCCGGGACAATTTACGAGCGCGTTTTACTTGCGCGACCAATGTGTCACCGCACATCGCGCCTTGAGGTTTCTGGTTTCTCGGCGCGCCTATGGGACGACCCAGGCATTTGCCGCGCCTGTGTTCGCGCGCGACTGCCAGAGCAGGCGCGAACATGATGTTCCTTCGCCTCGCGTGCGGGGCGGCGCTGAGCCTGCGGGACTGGCAAGTGCGCGACGCTTGATGGCATAATCCAGCGCCAGTAGAAGGAACAACTAAAAAACACTCTCGTGTGATGGGCTGGGGGGCATCTACCTATGCGTTGAGAATGACAGTAAACGCATCGTGCAGAATCGTAGAGTCAGAAGCATCAGCGCGGGCGCCGTAGTTGAGGGGGGCTGTTGCTGAACGCGCGGTCTGGAGTTTAACGCGGTTGCCCTCGCAGCGCTGCGCGCGTCGCTGACGCCCAAAAGATGGTTTTGCTGGCGCTGTCATGAAAACCACCACCGTTAATCAAAGGCGTCCCGCGACCGCCTAGATTGCGAGACTTGATTTTGAAGAAGCGCCGTCTCTGGCTGGAGCGGGAGCGGGCCAGGGGGGGGGGAGAAGGGGAAGGCGGAGTGACACAGGACAACGGGGAACATGAAAGGGACGGGAAGGGAGGTGAGGTAAGGAGGGGCCGGGGGCGGGAGGGAGGGGGAAGGGAGGAGGGAGGGGGCGAGGGATGAGGACGAAGAGGGAACGGAAGGGAGGGAAGCAAGACACGGCCGTGCCTGCCTACCTCGCGGTTGGAGCATGTCCCTCGGATTGAGCCAGTCGTGCAATCTCAGCCAGAACGGCCATGGATTGCAGACTGCCCGGGCCAGGGTGGCGCACGCAGGGGATGGTGTACGCTGAGGGATTGGGGGGTGCACACTGGGGTGGTGCACGCTGTGGACGGCCGGTGGTGCACACTGGGGACGCCGGACCAAGTGGTGCACGCTGGTGGTGTTTACTGGGGAAACCAGTCCAGACGCATGAGGTGCACGCCGGGAACTGTACGGTTCGAACCGTACACAAACACCCCATGTGCCCCCCTGTCGGCGCCCCCAGTGTGGAATACATGGCGTCTCTGTGCAACGAGCTTCGGCAGTCAAGATGGTCCCGACGATTCGGGCGCCCCCCACGCTATGCACCACGAGGCGGGCCCCCGTGACGAGTCGCAGGGGTGTCCGGGCAGCAGGCAAGGACGACTGAACAAAAATTGAAACCCTGGAGGGGCGAAGGCGCAGAGAGCCGGAAACGGAAGGGGACTGAGAAGAGAGAGGACCGAGAGGAAGGGGAGGGAGGGGAGGGGCAGGGAGCGGGGGCGAGGGGGGCGGCGGACATGTTTTATTCCCTACCTAGGCTCTGCCTAGAAGGGTTCTTACCGTGTAAGCTTAAGGGGCCGGGCAGTGGAAACCGCCCCGGGCGGTTCCCCCAGTATCCGCCCCGCGGTTCCCCCAGTATCCGCCCCGCGGTAACATAGCATAGCATAGCATAGCATAGCATAACATAGCATAGTATAGCATATCAAAGCGCAGCTTAGCATAGCATAGCATAGCATATCATAGCGCAGCATAGCACAGCATAGCATAGCATAGCATAGCATAGCATAACATAGCATAGCGCAGCATAACATAACATAGCATAGCGCAGCATAGCATGGCATAGCATAGCATAGCATAGCAACTAATGCTGCTTTCCTAGGGACTCCAACTTCTAGGTAGGGTCGCACTGGGGTAATTCACAATGCACCGCTCACACCCACCCTCAAAGGGCACAGTTCCTGCCAGGGACTGGCCGCCAGGACAAACAAATTATGCATCAGCCCAAGGTGCGACGGTCTTCGCCAGAGGAAGGCCTCTACAAATTCAAATCCTCTGCAAGACTTCCAACTGCGCCGGGCGGAGGGGAGGGGGGGGGAAGGCAGGGGGGTGGTAGGAGAGGGGGACGAGTGGGACGGGTAGGAAGGGAAGGGCACGTGAGGGAAGGGAGGGAGAGCAGGGGAGAGGGGACTGGGGGGCGAAGGCGAAGGGAGAGAAGAGGTCTCGGCCCTTGGGTACTTTGCCAATCAGGACCGAGCCACGCTCCCGGCCGAACAGGCCGAACAACGGCCCTTGCGAGCCTGGCCTTCCCCTGGAGGTCAACTGGCCCAACCCCAGCGAAAACTGCTGAGGGACCCCACGAAGCATCGAGTCCTAGTTCGGTGTGCGGAGGCCACGCTTTAGGCCAGACCAGTCACGACACGTCATGGGACGGCGGAGTTGTCGCAGCCACGAGACCAGGCACGACATGGTAGGCACGCTAGTGTCTCGGGAGACCAGGGTGCGCTTGCAGACCAAACACGGCACGGCAATGCACATTTGTTTCACTCTGAAGAACAGGCGCGGCACGGCATGGCACGGCACAATTTGTGCATACTGAAACCAAGCACGGCACAACACGGCACGACACGGCACGGCGGGGCTGTCGACAACAGCAACCGCCGCGAAGCAAGAGAAAGGGCAACCGCGCACAAGCCAGAAAAGAGTTCCCAGTGAACCTGCCGATGGCTTCGTAGCGAAGAAAATCAACTGACTATCTCAAGAGAGCCCGCTTCTAAGGCACAGAAAACAAATAATCAGCCGCCCGAGTGCCGTACCGTGCCATGTCATGCCGCGCCCGCGTGCCGTGGCTGGGTTCTACAATGTGACGCATACGCCGTGTCGTGACCGCACACTGCCCTGCCGTGCCGAGGCTCTAGAATGGAAAACCATGTGCCGTGCCGTGCCTGCGCGCGTGCCGTGCCGTGCCGTGCCGTGCCTACAGTCTAGCACGCGCGAAAACAACATGCCGTGCCGTGCCGTGCCCGCATGCCGTGACATGCCGTGTGCGATGCCGCGCCTCGGTCCTAGAATGCGGAAACATGTCGTGCCGTGCCATGCCGTGCCCGCGTGCCGCGTGCCGCGTGCCGCGTGCCGTGCCCAAGTTCAAGGAAGGCGAGAAATGCGCCGTGCCGTGCCGCGCCGACGTTCTGGAAAGCGAAAAGCGTGCCGCGCCGCGGCGTAACGTGCCCGCGTGCCGAGCCGTGCCGCGCGCAAGCTCCATGCGAGACACGCGCCGTGCCGTGCCGTGCCGTGCTGCGCCTGCGTCGCGGTGCCTTGCAGACGTGCGGAAGCGCAGAGAATGTGCCGGGCCGTGCCGCGTCGCGCTTGCGTGCCGAACCCAAGCTCTACGATGCGACAGCTGTTGCTGTGCCGTCCCGTGCGGTGCCCGCGCGCCGTGCCGCGCCTGGCCTCGTGCGGCACGGGCTGCCCACACCAAGCACGCCCCTGTTGTTGTTGTTGTTGTTGTTGTTGTTGCTGCTGTTGTTGTTGACTCACCACGCGTTATGTCATGCAGCGTTACGATTTTGGGTCTCTCTGAACGGCGCATTCAGCATGGGTGCAATCAACATCACAACAACTTCCGACAAATGTTCGACCATGTACGCCACGGGAAACGGAGCGGGCTGCCGTGGGCCGGTGCCCAAGCTTAAGCTCGCGGGCGGGGCCAGTGCTCTCGCCGCTGAATTTGCACCCACGCACGTTGTTTTCTCGACTGGGGCCCGTGCCCTCGCGGCTGGGGCAGTGCTCATGTCTCCTACGGGCTTGCGCCCATTGGGGACGAGGGCCCGTAACCTCCCTGGCCTTTGTAAAAGATCCGTGCCCTGTTTGGCCTGGCGGGCTCTTCTGTGCCCGCCCTTGTCATGCTTGAGCGCGGGGCCCTTGCCTTCAACCAGAGTGCGTGCGCACACGCAGACTCTTCAACCAGAGTGCGTGCGCCCACGCAGACTCAAAGGCACCCCCTACACACGCGCGCCAACTCACGCAGACACCGCAATTATCGCATGCGCTTTCACCATGCGTGCAATGCGCTACGAGTTGCATGCGTGTCACGCGTGTGCAAAGCGCTGCGTGCGTGGCGTTGAATGCAGGGCACAGATGAGCGATCACTTGAGTACATCGCAACTTGTTCAATTTCCTTCTGGGCCTCAGAGTGCGATCACCTTCCGGACCTACAGCGCGTGCAGCGCAAACTTTGGGCACGGCGACCTCCCCATCTTCTTCGGGCCCTTTTGCACCTGCTGGAAGGATTCGGTGCACCGCTCGTCGCGCCAGCAGCGTAGAAATGGCAGTGCCCGCCGCAGGTAGACCCTGTGGCTTCTTCAATGTGCTTGTTTGTCGGAACGCGATGCACTATCGAATGGCTCTTGCTGCGATGTGGGGAAAGGCCGGTCGCGGACCAAAGCATCCACGACGGCTGCCCAGCATCGGATGCGAGCTGCGTAGGATGGCAGGGATCGGCTGACGGTCGCGATAATGCTCCTCTGGCCCAACTGACATGAGAGCGAGCAGGCTCGGTCTCCAGCTGATGGCGCAGCTGCCACAGCCTCGCCATCGTTCGGACGTCCATTCCCCCGTGCATTTTTCGGCTTCGTGGGTGTATTTTTTTTCGCGAGGTGACCCAAGATGCTCCCCGATGATTTTCGCAAAGGCAAGAATCCACACGTCCGAGCGATGCCAAGCAGCCCGCCCGAGTGGAGTCGGTGCGGACAGGAGGCGCATACGCTGGCCCGTGCCCGAGCACCTGCTCGCAGTCGGGGCCCGTGCCCTCTGCGTCTGGCTTGGCCCGCAGGCCCGTGCCTGGGACACGTCGCCGGTGGGCAGCCGCGGGCCCGTGCCCAGAAGCTCGCGCTCGCGGTCGGGCGCCATCGCCGCTGGGTCTGTGCCAATGTTGGCGGCGCGCGCTAGGGGGGCAGCATGAGAGGGGGGGGGAAGCTTCTCGGAAGGAGGCTCCTTCTTGGAAGGCACCGGCCCCGCAACTACAGACAAGGCCCGCGCGTTCTAAAGATGCAGGGTGCTTCTACGAAGCCTTCCCCTCTCCCCCTGCCACCCTTTGCGCGTGGCCGCCAGTGTCTCTTGAGGGCGTGCGCCCTTCGGGGAGGAGGGCCAGTGCCCTCCCTGTCGTTGCAGCTGGCCTGTGCCCTGTTTGGACTGGCGGGCTCCACGTCGTGCTTTTGCACGCGGGGCTTTGGCCCTCCACCAGAAAGCGTGCGCGCACGCAGACTCGAAGGCACCCCTTGCGTACGCGCGTGAACACACGCACACGTTGCAGTTACTGTCTGCGCTGTGGCCGTGCTTGCGCTGCGTGTGTGACAGGCGGGGGAACAAACGTCTGAAATATTATGCCTATGTGGGGCCTCCAGGCCTTCGTCGCCACGACTGGATTCCCTTCGAAATTCTGCTCCGAACGAACCCATGACAGGTCCGAGGGCTGACCTCCTTGCAGCATGAACAAAAGTCATCACGGAAGGAGCTTGGTCGTTTTCGGCCTGCCGGGGGCCATTGCCGAGCCCCTGGGCCATCAGAACACGGCTCGGGACGAAAAGCCGGTGCCGAGGGAATAAGGGTGGAGACTTCTGGAGGTCCACGTTGCGAAAAACGTAAACGACGCCAGGGATATTGGTCCCGCATTGCTGCTTCTTCAGCTACGGTCGGGAACTGGTGCTTAGCGTGTCGCGGTGGCGGCCCCGGCGACATGCTATGCCCTGCGAGCGGATAGCGTGTCGCTCCACTCCGCGGGGCGGGAGGCTTGGAAAGGCTTGGCATGTTGGCACTAGGGGACCGGGATGTGGATAGTGTGTCGCGCCGAGGCGTGTTGGGCAAAAAAACTGGCGGAGCGACACGATATTCAAAATTTCCCGACCGCCGTGCTGCCCCTCCTCCTGGTGCTGGTCGACCACTCCATCCGGTAGCAGGAACCAGTTAATTATATGAGTGAACAATCTCTCTCTCTCTCTCTCTCCCTCCAAGACGCCAGCGTCGCCACTGTCCCCACTGACCCTCGCCCCCAGTGGGACCCCTTACCTGGCCCCGCCCCTCGCCCCCGTGCCGTTCCCGACTTGTCTTCCTCGTCCTCGCCATCGCCTTCCCCAGCCAGGCGCGCGGACGGTCGCGACGGCTCGTCTCCCCACGCGTCCATTCGCCGCGCCCGCGAGGCGGCGCGCCCCGCCTCCCCTACCAGAAGCAGGGGCCCCAGGCCCAGGGACAGCGACCACGGACAGCCCGCCGCGGCATCCTCGTCCCAGGGCGGGCACGGCCCCTGCGGTGAAGCTGCTGGGCCTGGCGCCAGCTCTGGTCCCCCCCCTGCCTCTCGCTCTTCGGCCACCGCTGGCCTCGGGGCTCCCGGCCCCCTTCCTGCCGCACCTCCCTGGCTCCGTGTAGTCTCTGCTGGTCCCCAGCGGCTTGTCCCTCGCTCAACGACCAGCACCTCCTCACATCCTGGGCGCGTGAACTCCATGCTTTGCCTGTGGCTCCCCCCCACTGGCCCCCATGACTGATCCCTCGTCGGCTCCACCTGTTCCCCGCGAAATGTCCGAAGACGCGCTCCGCAAGCAAGTGCGCGCAGTGGTCAGGGCTCGCAACCCGTGGGTCGACGCCCCCGCGGCACTCGGCGTCCATGCCTCCTCGCGCGGCGTCTCCTCATGCGCGACCTCCACGGGCCCGCCCCTCACGGCTCTCTCCTCACTGCCAGTGGCGCTCCCCCTGCGCCCGCATGGATGCTAATCGTTGCCGTTGAGCGCTTCCTCGCGCCCAGGGGCAACTCGCCCCCCCCTCCCCTCCCGGTCCTTTGTCTCGCTCGCCCCTCGCGCATGTGCTGGCTCCAACCGTCGGGGTCCGCGGCGCTCCAGGTCGAGGGCCACCAGAGACTCAGATCCCTTGTCACCCAGCGGCGGCCCCACTGAGGCTCAACGAGACCGCCCTAGGTCCCACCCCCCTGCCCGCAGGAATCCCCATGCGTCCGAGGCCAGCGCCTCCGACGCTGACGCAGCCGCCGCACCCCCTGCCCCCCCAGCCCTTCAAGCCGGCCCCCTCGAAGGCTTCGAGCACGCGCCTATCAGGGAACTCTCTCACCAACGCCCGGCCCTGGCCACGCGCGGTTTTATCCACCTCGGGTTTCGCCAGGCCAAACTCTGGAGGGCGGTCCCCCACAGGTCCAACTCCACGTCCGCCGACCCACGCATGCACCTTCCAGAGCGCCTCCACCTCTTCCTCGAGCGTGCCTACGGGTGCAAGATACATCTTGCAACCAATATCAACCAATGTCCCGGCTTCTGGCCCCCCTAGGGGCTGCGTTGCTGAAACCACCGGACCCCCCCTTCAGCTTATCAGATGGGTCGCCGACGCGCGCGCCAGGATGGCCCCCCATGCACGTGGAGGGACTTTCTCAGCCACGCTGCTGAACGACCCAATCCCATCCACCAGACCGACCAACTTCGTTCGAAACCATCTGCCTCGAGGCCCTCATCGAAGGCCACGAAAGGGACCGATTTGCAGGGTGGCGCTCAATGAAACGCAAAAAGAAGCGCGCCAAAGTAGCGGCCCTCATGAGGAACAGGCACCTCTCCAGATCCCCCACGTGGAGGGCCTCCCAGCCCCCTGTTCGCCTGACCTCTGCCGCGGCACGTTCCCCTTCCTCTTTCCTCTGGGCTGGCGTTCTCCCCTCTTCCTCATCGGCAGCCGCCCGTGGCAGGTCTGCGGCGTTGGGCACCCGCGCCTCGGCTCGGTTCCCCACTCCCGGTGGAAGCATAGGCGCGGCGCACCGCTTCGCTTCCCTGTGCGCCAGGTCCGCCGACCCTACGCCCGATGAAGCTGTCCGCAGAGCACGCAGCCGACGGCACGGCCTCGTGGGCGCCCTTCCCCGCCCACGCACATCACATGACCCGCGCGATCACTTGCACCCGACACTTACAGTGGAGGCCAGGTTGGGACCCCAGGACTTCCATTGATTTCTGATGTGGGAACGTCGCGCTCTCCATAGCAAAACCATCGACACACAAGAAACCAAGGGCACCCTGGAGGCAAGCAGGGTATTTCTTGGCATGGGTCTCCACTGCAAGAGACCCCCACCGGCGACGCCGCCGATGCTTCCGCTCGCCTTGCCATCGCGGGCGCCTCCAGGGCCCCGTCCGCTGGCCGGCGCCCCTCGCACCTGCCCGCGACTGGCCGTCGCGTCCTGATCGCCGCCCCCCAAGAGCGAGCCCGGGGCCCGCTCCCCCCGCTCGTCTTCCCCCTCCGCTTGCACCGCCTGCGCGCCCACCTGCGATGCGACCCCCGCCACCTGCTTCGTCCGTTGCGCCCTCCCGGCCCTCACCTTCCCGTTCCGCTTCTCCCGCGGGTGGCGCGGCCTCCAGTGCCGCCCAACGCTCTGCCGACCCCGCCGCCCGCAGGAGCTGGGGAAGGCCCCCCCTTGGGGCCTCCTGCGCCCCCTGCTGCCCCTGACATCCCAGGCGCCCCACCTGCAGGGCTTGACCCCGACTCCGATGGCCCCGCAGCGGGCCCCCCTGCCGAGGACGAAGCTCTGCGTTCTGCATCGGTGTAACCGCATTGCCCTGCAGCGCCACGGCACCGCCGCATCCGATCGAGCCACTGCGTCGGGCTGCAGGCTGTGGACGCTTCCCCGCCCCAGGCTTGGCCAGCGCACTCCAGCCGCTCACCCGCCCTCGCCCTGCCATCATTCGCCTCCTGAGCTGGAGCAGGTCATGGACTTCCTCACTGAGCCGGCCTGCGCGGATGAGCCTCGGGTCCATTTCGGCACACCCCTCACACGTTTCGTGGTGCTGCTGCGCCCTCGTGTAATCAGCGGTCCTGCTTGTGACCGCCTCGTGTTTGGAAATGGGTTGGGCTCTTCGCCTGGCTACTTATTTCCTGTTGTGAAGCTGTCTCGTCCCCACACTATTTACAGCTTCCCTCACTCCCTTGTCTGTGCCCCCGCCAGTCTCATCAAAAGTTCCCTCTTCGCACAGACATCCTCCCCTTCATTCTCACCTGACTAGCCTCATCCGCCTCCTTCTTCAGACCCCCTTGCCTCCGCCTTCTCTTTCTCGTCATCGTCCTCCGTCTCCTCCTTCTCGTTGTCCAACTCCTCATCGCGCGATTGTTCTACTCACCCAGTCTTCTGAAGCCATTTCCAGGGCAGCTGGGGATGGGCCTTCTTGCCTATGCCGCCCTTGATGCTGCAGACAAGGTTGTAGCGTTCGCCGTCCTCGTCTATTTTTAAGCAGTCGCACACCTGATTGGCCAGAAGTGGAGATGTCAAGGGGATGGGAGGTGAGGAGGCGGAGGAATAAGAAAAAGCTAGAGGAGAAGGAAACCGAGGATGCGTATGAGGACGAGGAAGAAGGTGATGCCACGTACCTGGTGGGGTCCCATCGTGTGGTGGTTCGCCCAATCCATCGACTGAGCGAGCGCCACCAGCCTCTTCGGGCATAGTGGTGTCCTGGGTAGAAGGGCGTTGGACTGAGAGAACCCGCGCACCTCTGTCCCGATTCACTGGCGCTAGCGCGATGAGTGCGCGCAGGGACTTTACTGGGACAGCGTGTATCGTGCGCTACGGGGGGGGGGCAGTAGAAAGCATTGTGCGGTTGTCCTGGCTGGCAGCAGCGGGGTAAGCCGCCGCAGCCCCGCAGATACGCGCAGCAGAGCCTGCTGTTGCGCCTAAGACTTGTGGCGCTCACAGGCCGAGCGGCGATCGCAAGCCTCGCTTCACTCACTTGCATATGCACAACATAACGCCTGCGAAAACAGAGGTCTGAGTACACCACAGAGTATGTGCATATCGCGGTCGCACAATTGCGTCTGTACGCGCCACAGCCCTGTGTACGCACACGCAACCCTGCGTACACCACGTGTGGCCCGTGCGCATCTCGAGCACACGAAGATGGGCATGTGTACGTCACATGCACCGCCGTAAGCACATCACAAATGCAGAGCGTGCGCACACCGCGTGGCCTGTATACATCACGTGGCCTGCCTGCACCTCCAAGCCTGTTTGCACTACAGACCGTGTGTAACAGAGTGCCTTACAACGAAGCTTTTTGCATTCGTTGTCGAGTGGGGGGTCGTTCTTGGGAGGTGGGGGGTGGGAAGCCGCCACGAAAGGAATCCCTTTTGCATTCCATCGCAAAAAGAATTCCTTTGTATTCCGTTACAAAAGAATTCCTTTTGTATTCCGCCACAAAGGGAATCCTTCTGTATTCCGTCACAAGAAGAATTCTTTTGTATTCCGCCACAAAAGGAATTCTTTTGTATTCCGCCACACAGGGAATCGTTCTGTATTCCGTTGCAAAAGGAATTCCTTTGTATTCGCTACAAAAGGAATTCCTTTGTATTCCGCTACAAAAGAAATCCCTTTGTATTCCGCCACAAAAGGAATTCCTTTATATTCCTCTACAAAGGGAATCTCTTTGTATTCCGCTACAAAAGGAATCCCTTTGTATTATGCTACAAAGGAAATTCTATTGAATTTGTATCACTGCCTGAAAACCTGTGTTTTCACAGCTTTTCAGCTATTTTCAATGAAAAACATTGTTTTTTCATTGCCTGGCACAGCTATTCAGCTATTTTTAATAGAAAATATTGTTTTTTCATTGCCAGGCTCAGCTATCTTAGCTTATTTAATGATTTTCCAACTATGGCGTATTGATTTTAATAAAAAGCTGTGAAAACACATGTTTTTCTTTGATTTTCGAATGAAAAATCAAAGGGAACCCTGTGTTTTCACAGCTTGTTTGCTAGTTTCAATGAGAAACGTTGTAAAAAGCTGTGAAAACACATGGTTTTCTTTGCTTTTTCATTCGAAAATCAAAGAAAGCCCTATGTTTTCACAGCGTTTCAGCTATTTTCAATGAAAAACATTGTTTTTTCATTGCCTGACACAGCTATTCAGCTATTTTTAATAGAAAATATTGTTTTTTTTCATTGCCAGGCTCAGCTATCTTAGCTTTTTTAATGATTTTCCAACTATGGCGTATGTATTTCAATAAAAAGCTGTGAAAACACATGGTTTTCTTTGATTTTCCATTGGAAAATCAATGAAAACCCTGTGTTTTCACAGCTTTTTATTAAAACCAATACGCCATAGTTGGAAAATCATTAAAAAAGCTAAGATAGCTGAGCCTGGCCATGAAAAAACAATATTTTTTTTTTATTAAAAATAGCTGAAGAGCTGTGCCAGGCAATGAAAAAACAATGTTTTTCATTGAAAATAGCTAAAAAGCTGCGAAAACACAAGGTTTCCAGGCAGTGATACAAATCAAATAGGATTTCCTTTGTAGCAGAATACAAAGGAATTCCTTTTGTGGCGGAATACAAAGGAATTCCTTTTGCGGCGGAATACAAAGGAATTCCTTTTGTGGCGGAATACAAAGGAATTCCTTTTGTAGCGGAATACAAAGGAATTCCTTTTGTAGCGGAATACAAAGGAATTCCTTTTGTAGCGGAATACAAAAGAATTCCTTTTGTAGCGGAATACAAAGAGATTCCTTTCTCTCTCTCTCTCTTTCTCGCTCTCTCTCTCTCTCTCGCTACTACTGCTACTACTACTACTACTACTACTACTACTACTACCAACACTAGTACTACTACTACTACTACTACTACTACTACTACTACTACTACTACTACTACTACTACTACTACTACTACTACTACTACCATTACTACTACTACTACTACAACTTTTACTGGTTCTAAGAGCACCACAGATCCTGTGAGCACCACAGAGCCCACGAGCACTGGTGCACTATATATTAACCCCGCAATACCTGCATCCACCACAGGTCCTATGAGCACCGCAGAGACGGCGGAGGAGAGCGCAAAGCGCGGAAATCTCACTGATCAAGGGAAATCTCGTGCTATTTTCATCGCGTCTGGTCTGCAGAGAAGCTGGTAGCTAGCAGCTACCCTAGGAATGCTGGCGAGCAGCCAGCTTAGGGTGAGGACGAGGAGGAGAGGGAGGAGAGACGACACTTGATGGCGAGCAGCCATCTTGAGACTCATAGCCGGTCCCCGTCTGGAGTGAGGAGAACAACCAAAGTGCTTTGAGGTACTTCAGAGACAGCCGTAATATTGTCCAGCATTGAACTTACCACGCATTGCACCTCATCAAGAAGAATTCCATTCGCCGCCCATTCCCCCTTCCACCTCTGAGCGTACCACAGCTCTTCAACAAGACTTGAATCTGTGAGCGCTGCACGTTTCATATAGCAACGTCTGCTCTTGTAAGTTGGAATATCTATGCGGCCGAAAAGACCCTTCGAACCCAGAATAGTACAAGATTTGAACTCATTCCTGAATAGCTTAGAAGGCGTCCCACCAATCTGAGCAGTTGACCGGCCATCAACAGTGAAAGCCCGCATAACCGAATTTATGTTATCCACGCGGCCAATATGGGCATCTGCATATTTGTATGTAGGCCACTTATGCATAGATGTCTCACTAACGATGCAATGCAAGTTGATATCTTTTGCAGTATTGGCGTTCAACTTGTTCTTCGCTGCGGCGGCCAGCAATCCACCATCCAATGCGTGTACCAAATAAGAAATAGCATTTGACGTATGCAAAACCATATTGTCAATTGGAAGCCGAACAGATAATTGTTTCCATCCCTTCTCCTTGCTTGTGCGCACTACAGTATCATTGAAATTGCCATCCAATGCGTCGTCTCCAGCAATTATCCATATATCTTTAATGTCATAAGTGTCCGAAGCGAAACCCTTTGTCGGCTGAGGAGGTGGAATTATCGATTTTGGGTAAACCCTGACACTAATGTCATAAGTGTCCGAAGCGAAACCCTTTGTCGGCTGAGGAGGTGGAATTATCGATTTTGGGTAAACCCTGACACTGAGATCATCGTCTTCCTCGTCCACCCACGGCCTCTTCTTGCTAGTTAACGGTAAAGATTTAGGCTTCGCTGTCCTCGTGGCTTCTGCATCGGTTGATATGTCCAAGGGCTTGCCATTGGAGCTGGTCTTGAGGTCGCCGAAACATTGTCCCTCGCACTCGTCCTCTGTAGAAGAAGATGATGACGAGCTGTCCTTAATTGTTGCTCTCTGTCCGCCAACTTCATGCGTTGTCTGATAACCACTATAAAAATTCCCAGCGTATTGACACCCATAATAATTGCCAGCATATGGATAATGCATAGGAACGTACACAACTGGTTGAGGATGCGCTGAAGAAGAACCACCGTTTGAATATTGATCATTTGTCTTGGCAAAGGGTCCAGATTCGAGAGCGAGTGCAGCCTCTGGGAACAAACTTTTCCAAATCCCAATTACTCCACCTCCTTTCTTTTTGGCTTCGTGCATTTTTTTCGAAACCTTTAAATTGTGCGTTGCCTTCAAGTCTTTCCATAACTTGTCGCCGAAATCACCCCAGCTTCGGCACCTGGAAATGACTTCGGGCTGGGGGCCCGCACTGCGGATTATACGCTGCAGTTCGTCCATTCGCCGGAATACGGATGCGTCGAACAACGAAAACCTTGAGCCGCAGGTTCTACGGATCAGTTGGAGTCGCAACCGGAATACAAGAGCAGAGGCTGATCCACGACCCAGGCACGGCGCAGGAAGGAGAGCAGGCGATATATTGATAATGATGATAACCCTGATATTGATAAATATGACATTGGAAATGGTGATAATCTGTGTAGCGATGATAATGTGTATGAATGATGGTATTGATTAGAATGAATGATTTTTTTGCGGCGCAACTTGAACAGCGAAACTGTTGTAGGCTGCGCCCCTGTCATTATGAAGACGATCAGTCTTCTTTCGCGCGCGACGCCTGAAGTGAAAGCGAACAGCTTCCTTGTGAGAACAAGCAGTCCTCTTAAAGAAAGGGCCTAATTGTTGATGTGTTTCAACTCGTTTCCAGTGAACGAGAGAGGCTTCATCGCTTGCGTTTCGGCGTGCGCTTCTGCTTCGGCGTACGCTTCTGCTTCGGCGTGCGCTTCTTCACTTTTCTGAGTGACATGCATGTGCCTGGGTAGTCCTTCCTGGAATTCCCCGCTGTGAACTTGTTGCGCCATAAACAGTAATGGTACAAGAAGCATCGGTAGCGAGCGCGCTTCATCTTTGACAGCCAAGCCAATTTGTCCAAACGCGACCACAACTGTTCCGCCGCCTGAGAGTTCAATGTCTTTTTATGAACAATGGCTGGTGTTTTGCACTTGTGCTTCTTGCTGTGATACCCATCCAGATAACATTTATCGCATAGCGATCCTTCGAAATG